ATTAGTGAGTTAATATACTGTCAAGTTAAGGTACCTCTCAGGCTCTTTGACAGCAATATTCTTGTAGAAAAATAGACAATATTTATTGGGAAAAAAATCTACTGAAAGAAACAGGAAATGACCCAAAAGTTATGAATGGCACCATTTTGGTAGAATCTAATTCATGCTGTGGGTTGTTCAGTAAAGTAATTGGGACAGATCTGCTGGAATTATGAGAATGATGATGAGATGATGACAATGATGATGATGATGATGATGATGATATAGCATCTTCTTGTCCCTCGTTAACACAGGAGCAGTAATGCCAGACACTCACTTTAACTTCAGGTCTACCTTTTCCAGTTCAAAGAAGCTCCTTAAATTTGCCACCTCAGGTTTTTAAGCAGCAGACATTGGAATGCCCTTAAATCTGGGGAAACTGATATTTCAGTCAGGGCAATAACTCCAGGAGGAGGGGGCAGCACAGGAGGGACAAGTGGGGCCTACACATGTGAGACAGACCCAGCCAGGGCTGGAGGACACCTGTTTCAGCCTCAGAACATGATATCAAACAGTTGTGGGAAGTTTAAAATCATGCCAAAATTAAAAGTTACTGTACCAAAATTAAAAATTTTTCAAAATGACTTGTATCACACAGTAATGGCATCCTACACAGGAAGAAATGCAGAATTTAGAAATGCATGTGTCTATTTCACCCTGGTCTTTATTTTAAAAGCCTACTGTGACTGTTTCAGCAAGGCCTTCACAGAGCTATGTAAGTGCATACTTGGGTCAGGTGAACTCAGCCAGCACTCCCAGGCCTACAAGCTGCCACAGCAGTAAACAATAAGACTGCAAACAACAGCCTTCCTGGCTCCCTCCCTGCAGGGGAACTTCCTTCCTAGAAGGAGCCTTATACTCCTATTCCTTGTTTAAGAAGCTCACCATCTAGCAAAAGCTTGGTGCATTCTGAGCACTAGCTCATAACAAGATAGGATGGGATCGAATGGAAGATTTTTAAAAGTAATAGTAATACAGAGAAATGTGTTATTGGCAAATGCTATTTTGACTTACCATATTTATTGTTCAATTTTTCACTAGGATGCAAATTCTATGAGATCAGCTTAATCATCTGCTATCTTCCCAGTGCCTGCACATTATAAAAATTCAATACATTTTGGTTGAATGAAAATAATAAAATAAAATAAAATAAGTCATAGGAAAAGGCTAGACCGCATGAGAACACTAGGCCAGAAAGGTAGATGTCACTGAAGGACACTAAACATAATAACGTAGTAATGAGACTTCTATCTCAGCTCCATCTGAGAGATAACTGGAAAATCCAAGCAGACAGATAATTACCAGTAGATGAATCTTTCAAGGCTGAATCAGAGACAGATAAACAGAGAAACATAAGCAGAACATTGCCTCCTTCAGTAGAATTAAAAAACAAAAACAAAAACAAAACAAAACAAAACAAAAAATATATATATATATATATATATACTCTTGGCCAGGCTGGTAGAAAAAAAGAGAATGAGAACACTAATTACCAAGATCAGGAAGGAAAAATAGATTATCATTGCAGACCCTACATTCATTAAATGAATAATAAGTATATGAGCACCTTTATACTAACAAATTTGACAACATAATTGAAATGGACAAATTCCTTGAAAAATACAACCTACCAAAACTGACAAAGATGAAACAGAACATCTGAATAGTCCTATAGCTATTAAAAAGCTCAAGAACAGTCTAAAAGTTAATGTGTCAGGGGAAGGCAGTGTATACCACATGTGACTAGGGGCAGGGCAGGTCATCATGGTCTCAGGCTTCGAAATGACACAAATACTGTTTAATCACTGTGTCATAGAGAAGGATCCTGTCACCAGAAACAGGCACAAGGTTAGAACCAGGATCTTGGGTTTGTACTGTGGTCTAGAGGACAAGACAGGAGGTTCTCAAATTCTCAATTTCAGAATGTTTATTTGTTTGTTTATTGTTGAAAAAAACATCTACCTTGAGCCTGCTAGGAGTTGTGCAAGGTCATAAGCAGTCTTAGTGAGTTAAGCTGATGGCAGGCCTGCCAAGGTTGTGACAAATATAGACTCTCATTTAGCTTCCAGTGACAGTTGCTGGAACTGAATTTGTATGCCAAGCTTTTTATATATCATTTTATTAATCATCTGTATGAATTTGCATTTTAACCTTTCTATTGATTGTTTCTTTACCTTTCTAGTTTCTCTGACTCAAACCACAGAGCCATCCTTGCCCCTGCTCTTTCTCTCACATGCCCATTCTATCTGTCAGGAAATCCTTAATTCACAATAGCAAGCACCTGACAGCTCCAGATATGTACAGCTGGAGAACCCTGACAAATACAGATCCCTCTGACATTATTTCCTACTGCTCTTTCTCTGTTCACAGGCATCCAGGCCACTCTGAGATGACCACCTTAGGACCTTTGCACTTGGTGTTCTTTCCTTTTGGAATATGTGCCACCTAGAGAGACACCTGTGTATCTTTCATTCCTTCAGATCTCCACTCAACTATCCTTCATAGTGAAGTTTCTCATGACAAGCCAATATTCCCAGTACCTAGTGTGTATAGAGTAGGTGCTCAATAACTGTATTTTTGTGTGTGTGTTTTTAATTTTTTTTTATTGAGCTCAGAGAGAGGAAGGGAGAGAGAGATAATCATTGACCAGCTGCTCCTGCATGCCCCCTACTGGAGATAGAGCCCACAACCCAAAATGTGTCTTTGACTAGAATTGAACCTGGGACCCTTCAGTCTGCAGGCCGATGCTCTATCCCCTGAGCCCAACCGGCTAGGGTGCAATAACTATTTATGAATGAATGAATGAATGAATGAATGAATGAATGAAATGAATAAATGACTACTGTGGGACTGCAGGGGGGAGAAGAAATAAACTGTGGGGTATGGGTCCCATCAAGACCATGAATGTGTTTTACCCAATATTTGGTTCATCCAGTATTTTAAAAAAATTGAAAGTCATTGACAACTATTAAAGGTCAAGAGAATTCTAATTTCTCTTAAAATGAGAAGATCTGCTAATACTGGATACATATTGTCACATGACTGCCATCAACTGAAATTGAGAGTGATTGGTTACAGTGAGCCACTAAGCCCACTGTTCCACCAGATTATCTGATACTTAACCCTTTGCATTACTTTACATTCCCCACTGGACCTTTTAAATAATCATTACAGAAGTTGACATACCTCATGTCATGGTTTCTATTTCTCTGGTGGGTATGAATCAACATCTACCAAGGAGACAGAATTCTAAAATGGATCTCAAGATTAAATTCTCTCATGCATACATAGTGTCTTCTAATTACTTAATCAAACATAAACTTAGGTGCTGCTCCTCAATGAGTCTGACCTAATCAAATGAGCTTTTAAAAGGGATTGGGCTCCTACTGGGAGAAAATATTTGAAGTGTGAAACGGACACAAGATAAGGGAGAGCTTCTGTTGCTGACTTGAAGATGGAGCAAGCCATATGGCAAAGGATGGGGAAGATCTCTAAGAGTTAAGAGTGACCTACTGTTGACAGCCAGCAAGGAACTAGAGACCTCAGTCCTACAACCTCAAGGAACTGAATTCAGCTAAGGCCTGAATAAGTCTGGAAGTAGATTCTTCCCAGAGCCTCCAGAGAGAAACACAGCCTGACCATCACCTTAATTTCAATCTTGTAATAAGAAGAGAACACAGCCACCCCAGGCCTCGACATCTGGTCTAATGTACTGGGAGATAATAAACAGGTGTTACTTTTGAGCCTCTAAGTTTGTGGTAGTAGCAACAGAAGACTAATCAAGGCCTTAATTTTTATCAAAGGATAAATGGTTAAAAGAAAAGTTATTTTATAAAAGTAAAAAGTTATCTTTTTTCTCACATCAACATTTTCTAAACAATAAATGAGGAGTTGCTGTTTTTAAAAATCCAATCTTAATTGAGTTTAGTTTTCTATAGAAACTTAACTGTGAACATTCCTTTTTTATTTAATAGAGTTGTGTGTGTTTTTTTGTCTTTGGAAGTACATGTGTTTTGACCAAAATAATATAGAAATAAAAACAGACATTCTGCCATTTTTGGCATAATTTTCTAAGCCATGTTTTTAATATAAAGTGAAGGGCAGCATTGTATAAAGCTGCCTGATACCACCCAGAATACGGTAAAGAATATCTTAAATGGATAGTTCATTGAAATGGGTCTTCTGTCTCTATATGATCCTCCCCAACAGGCATGCCAGTTCAGAATTGTGAGCATCTCATATTTTAAATGCATAAATCCCTGCTGAAATGACACCCCGTCTATCTGCTATCTGGGAAGAGATGTCCAAACCACAGCCTGCCTTCAATTTGATACCCTACTGAATTGTGAATTAGAGAGCGCTATGAGCTGTCCATTTTGGTGAGGAGCATTTAAAAAAAAAAAAAAAAATGCCCTGATCTCGAATGCATGTGCTTTGAAGAATTATTCACCCAGAAAAGCTGCTGGAGTGGGAACGACAGCTCCCACGATGTGAGTCAGCTGCCCACTTCCAGATGATCACTATTGGTACACGTTTCTGCCAGCTGCTGATTGGTAGGTAGTTTTGAGCTACCCTGAAAGGCATCTCCCCCCGTGGTCTGGGAAATATGTGCTAGGTTTTCCTGGGATCTATATGCCACACAGATGGGAAGAAATATTAAAAATATATGTAAAAGATGGTTTCCATACATCCAGAGACAATTGTATCGATAAAGGCTAAGTCTCAGTTCTGTGATAGAAGATGAGGCACCACAATAAACCAACATGGGTGGTAAATTCAACATACTGATATTTATAGGAACATAAGAAAATGTCTTCATTAGATGACTGCCCCTTTAAATAGGCTGTAAAAGAGAAGGGAGGAAGAAAACAGAGAGGGGTGTAAGTTCGAGAAGGGGAAGAGAAGGAGAGGAGGTGCGATCACTCTTGACGCTGTTTCTGGGACCTCTCCTGCACTCCCCTGAGGGCTCTATGGTCTCTTCTGGGCAGTGCTCCCCCACTCGGCACTTGTCCCTCTTCATTTTTTTATGTTTGTGGATTGTTCACCCTGTAAGTTGTATAAGCCTGAGAGACTGGATTTGAATGGTTGTCCAGAAAGAAAGTAGGAGCTTTACTTAGCTTGAGTTTCCCCAAAAACAGGCCTTAGGACAAGGATGTGAGTGCAAGAAGTTTGTTTTGGAGATGATCCTAGGTACAGGGGGAAGGGGAAAGGAGACAAAGAAGGCAAGGCAGCCAATGCAGGGAAGTGAGAGATTAAGGTAGAACTTTAGGCAACTAGGGCTCGGTGTGTTGGGAGCAGGGTACTCATGTCCACCTCTCTCCATCAGCCCAAGGGTGTTCCCGTAGGCCATGGTTCCTCAGCACCAGGCAGAGCATGGAGGCACACTCTTGTAGGATCCAGTCCATTTGTATGGAAAAGAGTAATGAGGGAGCCGAAACCGGTTTGGCTCAATGGATAGAGCATCGGCTTGGGGACTGAAAGGTCCCGGGTTTGATTCCAGTCAAGGGCATGTACCTTGGTTGCGGGCATATCCCCGGTAGGGGGTGTGCAAGAGGCAGCTATCGATGACTCTCTCTCATCGATGTTTCTAACTCTCTATCCCTCTCTCTTCCTCTCTGTACAAAATCAATAAAATATATTAAAAAAAAAAAAAGAGTAATGAGGGAATATGAACTGGGCACCAACAGTCTCCATAGACATTTGTTGAAAGAATAGATACATGAATGAGATAAGTTATTTCTTTCATTACAATTCTCTTTAAAATTCTATGGTCCATTATGCTATACTAAAAGCCCAATGCATGACATTTGTGCACTGGAGGGGGGGTACTCAGCCCAGTCTGCACCCTCTCGCAACCAGGACCTCTCGAGAATGTCCTACTGCAGGTTTAGGCCTACTCCCCGTGGCAGTCAGACATCCCTGAGGGTTCTTTAGCACTGCCACAGAGGTGGGAGAGGCTCCCACCACCATCACTGCGCTTGCAGTGAGTTCGGCTTCTGACTGAGCAGCCCTCCCCCTGTGGGAGCGCACTGACCACAAGGGGGCAGCTCCTGCATTGAGCCTCTGCCCCCTGGTGGTCAGTGTGTGTCATAGCAACTTGTCATTCCACTGTTCTGTTGATTCGCATATTAGCCTTTTATTACCGTATTTTCCAGCATATAAGACGACCCCCTAATTTTACAGTTAAAACATAGGTTTAGGCCTATATTCGCTGTATAAGACTACCCCCCACTTCCGAGGCAACACTAGTTCTTTTTTTAATAAACTGCCTCTCTGACTCTGGCCAATCCGAGCAGGCTTTTTACTAGAACACAGTGTAGCTTCAGATACAGAACATGTATAATTTGCATGCATAAAAAGCTGCTTGGATTAGACAGAGCCAGAGAGGCGGTCTATTAAAAAAGAACTGGTGTTGCCGAAACCGATTTGGCTCAATGGATAGAACATCGGCTTGGGGACTAAAAGGTCCCGGATTGGATTCCGGTCAAGGGCATGTATCTTGGTTGCGGGCATATCCCCAGTAGGGGGTGTGCAAGAGGAAGCTGATCAATGACTCTCTCTCTCATCGATGTTTCTAACTCTCTATCTCTCTCCCTTCCTCTCTGTACAAAATCAATAAAATATATTTAAAAAAAAAAAAAAAAGAACTGGTGTTGCCTCGGAAGTGGGGGGTAGTCTTATACAGCGAATACAGGCCTAAACCTATGTTTTAACTGTAAAATTAGGGGGTCGTCTTATACGCCGGAAAATATGGTGTGTAGGATGTGTTGCTTTGAACTTTTTTTCTTTATTTTCTTAGGTGGGATATAACATCATAAAAAGCATAAATCCAATCTGAGATATACAGCTCAAGGACTGCTGTCCATAAAAACACCTGTGTACTTCCACCTGGTTCAAAGTATCAAACATTGTCCTCACCCAGTTAGGCACCCACTCACCTCTTCCTAGTTAATATCAGCATGCACCCAGAAACAATCACCCTTCTGATGCTTATTATAAATTAGTGTTACCTCTTCTTGAACTTTCTAAAAAGGGGTTTATGCAACATAGTCTCATTCCTGTCTGATTTCTGTCACTCACCACAATTTGTGGAACACATTTATGCTCTTGTGAGTACCAGTTAGGGGTGTGTGTGTGTGTGTGTGTGTGTGTGTTTCTGTACAGTGCTCAGACAACTTCATTTTGTAGTCAAAACTAAATAAATGAGTAAATTTCTGAGTTACATTCAACTCTGCCTTCTGGTAATGCCCCTTGGCAGGTCACCACAAGATCTTGGAATTTCTGCCAGAGGAAATTCACTTCCCACCACCCCAGGCTGCATATCAGGGAAATCACCCCATCTTCCTGGTCCTGGAGCTTTATCCTCCTTGCAGCTGTGAAGTGGGCAGTTGTATCTGACCTATCAAACATGGTCTGAGCACGACAGAAGATGAGCTAACTTTTAAACCCAACTCTATCTATCACCAACTGGTCATGAGCCTCGAAACAAGTCACATCTGCTCTTTCATTTTCAGCCTCTTCCTCTTTAAAAGCAAAGCACTTTGAGGGGTGGGGGGTGGGGAGGAGAAGAAAAAATAAAAAGTAAAATAAAGAATAAATAAATAAAAGCAAAGTACTGGGATGACAGCTTTGGTGGTTACTGCTGCCCCATGCACCATGGCTAGCAGACATTGCCTATACATGGTCTAGCATTGTCTCCACCTCTTTTCCAAGCAAGTGGCACACCTCACTTACAGAAACACCAGCTCCCATTTGTCAGTTCAGCTCAGCAGGTTTCCTGGGATAATGAACAGTGCTCTCTACATGCAGGGCCAGCCGACAGACCGCATCAGTGTGCGCACTTGCAATGAGGCACACTGTGGTGTGGGCCCTGCCCGGCAGCCTCGGCAGCCTGTTAGGGGGCCAGCAGGAGAGATGGAGGTGCTTATCAACAACAACAAAGTGAGGGCAGGGGAGGCTTTGGGGCATTTTTAACTGAGGGGCCAGGATTTTTACTTATAGTTTAGAAGGGGATAAATACCAGTGCTGTACCTTGAACATGAGCCTGCCCAGGGGCTTTCTCAAGAAAGGAGCCCTTTAGAGGGTCTGCTTCTGCTGTTCATGCTGCCCATGACCTCCTCCCCGATCCTCCAATCTTTCTATGTTATGTGTTTCATTGTCTTTGCTTAATGACTAGTTCTGAAACTGCTGCTGTACCGGCAAAGCCAGAAGTTTTCGTGAATGAACACCCCATATTTCGGAGGTCAGGCATTGATACTCCAGCTCTGTCACTTACATGTGTTTTACACCATTTTCCAGGGTCCCCCCCCCCCCTCCAAAGGAATAAGCTCCAACCACTCACAAAGTTGTTAACAAAGTCATGCATCCATATTGCCTGCCTTACCCTCCCTGCCTCACCATCCTGCTCCTCCCAAATAAACAATTTCCACTCAAAATCCTTGTTTTAGGGTCAGTTTCTGGAGGGACCCAGACCCTAAAAAAAGTATAAATCAGAGCATCCCAGTAAAGTATAAATCAGAGTATCCCAATAAAAGATAAACACCGTAGTGCCACCAGTAAAGATTGACTTTGGGTGGTGAGTGCCGAATGCGGTATGCAGATGATGCTTTATAGAGTTGGACACTTGAAATCTGTATGGTTTTATTAACCAATGTCACCTACACAAATTCAATTTAAAAACAAAGTAATGATCATAATGTTTAAAAATTTATGTTATACCAAAAAATAAAATTAAGCACTCTTGTTCTAAGGCTCACTTACTTAACTACAATAGATAAGAAAACATCCCTCTTTCAAAGGCAGCAGTTATCCACCAACCATTACTTTGGGGACAAGAGACTCAGTGGCTGCCTCAGCATGACCTGCCTCAGTTCATAGAAGTTGGCTTCTAAAGTTGAGCCTCGGGGTCCACAAGACTGTGGGCCCCACCGTGGGGCCCTCAGAATGTGACAGGGGACACCACCACAGAAACATTACTCTCTGATTCCACTCTTTCAGGGCCAGTTCTTCCAGGTTAACATGTGGAAAATCTCCCATGAGCCAAACCACCGAGACATGATGGCCAGAGGTGATGAGAATAACAGGGCAGGAGTGAGAAGAGAGAGCCCCGGGTGATGAAACACAGTGAATCGCTCCATTCCTCAGGACTTTCAACCCCAGGTCTTACTCACTGCAGATATGCCACGCCTCAGCTCCTTAGCTCCCTTTTCGTGGTGAGAAACACCACATCTTAGCAAGGAATGCTATTAATAGAATGGTTGACAATCAGGTTAAAAAATCAAAGAACTATGGGTTGGCAGACAATGTAATACAGAGTATCCTGCTCATAGAATTTAACCTTCTGAGTCATTTTAACGGAACTCCTCAGTCTCTTCTCATTCCCCTTCAGCCAATCAGGGTTAAAGTTTGTTTAATTAACTGAGGGACACTTGTCAACAGAGGAATTAAGGGAGTGACTGCAAATGTGGGAGCCAGCATTGGCTTGGCTTGTTCCCGATCTTCTGCACAGACCACATGTGCCTGCATCGTGAAGGCTAACAGTGATCATCTGGTCCGAGTCACTTAATGCTTTATTGTTTCCTTATGATGATTATTCAATTTGTCATACTTGAAAATATTAGTGTTTTCTTTTTTGCATGTATATTTTAATTCTTGGCTTTCATCTCTATATTTGGGTTTGTTTTAAAAATACAGTCTAAAAAAATTAAATCAAGTAAAAATTTGCAAGACCTTTTAAATGTGGTCCCCACTGCATTTTTGAAGTTGTGACTGTAAGGCTGAGAAATTTTTTTCTGGGGAATGAGAGTTCATCTTGAAAGGGAACAAGGTGAGGCGCCATATGGCAACACACCAGGCAGGGGGCCAATGGAGCTGGGCTTGCGTTCGGATGGCCCACCCCCATCTCCACTTTGGGAACAAGCTGTTCCCCGGTTAACCCCTTACACATACAGACATCAGCTCGTTCCCATGTAGACAATCGCCGTCACCCGAGACATTGATCAGGACGGCTCATGCTATCACCACATGATGGGGGGCCTGAGAGGAGCACTAAGGCTAAGAGAGGTTATGTGATTTGCTTGAAGTCACACAGCAGAAAAAAAGGGAGGAGGCGCGTGCGTCACCAGGTCTTAGATCCAAGAGCTTCTAATTCAGAGTTTGGTGATTCATCCATCGATACCAGTCTCCATGCTTTGAAAAATATTAGCCCAGGGGAGTATTTGTCTTAAGTGTAAATCAGGCACTACAGAACACACGTGGACAGAATTCCAAGGAACTACCCAGGCAATGGGTGTGTCTTTTAAAACGTAGATATATTCCTCAGAAGTCATTGACAGTTTGCTGCGACCACCAACACAGTGTATAGGGACACATACACGTTGGGCAGATTTCCCACTTCCTCCGCCATCTCGTGCATTTAATCTGCCTTACCTCCAGTTATTCCCGAAAATTATTTAGTGCTAAAGAGTCACCATCTTCCGTCAGATAGGAAGCCCTACTGTAATCATTGCCCCAACACCAGGACTACTCAAAGCGTGGACCCAACCAACAGCAACACATATCACCTGGAAAGTGGTTAGATAGACAAATTCTTGGGTCCCATCCCAGCCCTACAAAATCATAATCTCTGGGAGTGATGCTCACCCATCTAGGTTTTAACCACCTCTCCAGGGGACCCTGGTGTCTGCTAAAGTACTTTACACATAGAGGTGTTTTACATGTAAAAAGACATATCCGTTGCCTGGGTGGTTCCTTAAATTCTGATATAAAATTATCAGCTAATAATTTCTAGTATGTGGCCATGTTACAATTTCTCATATTGGATTACATGAAATGAATGAAAATGCATAAATTAAAACAATCACTGAAATACTTGGGATTCTTAATAGATATTGCAGGAGGAAAAGAACTTTTGAAAAACATATAGGAACTGAACAAGAAGGTAACTAAATTCTGGAGAAACATCCCAGGGAATCAATATTTTAAATAACATGTGAACCAACCTTAATTAATGCTTATAAGACCCATACTGCATCCTCACCCCAGCCACCTCCCACCATTCCCTTACAGTCTAACAGGTCCTATCTACCTATGCTCTAGGGTTTCTTTTCTCTCTTTTAAAAAAATATTTGGATAGACACAAACTATCAGCCACTGACAAATGCAATATGTCTTTGATTTTCAGTACTCCTTTCATATAAAAAAAAAATTGTCAGCCTGGCCCATGTGGCTCAGTGCTGAAAGTCAACCTATGAACCAGGAGGTCATGGTTGGATTCCCAGTTCAAGGGTGCTATCACAGTGGGGGGGAACATGCAGGATGCAGCCAATCAATGATTCTCTCTCATCAGCATTATTTCTATCTCTCTCTCCCTCTCCCTTCCTCCCTTAAATCAATAAAAATATATTTTTTAATTTTTCAGATATTTAAGAGACTCTAGAATGTCCATGGTTCTTGTTTATGTTATTAATCCAAATATTTACACAGCTATATTTATAATTCTTCCAATTTCTAAGTTCAAGTACACAATTTTCTTGTTTGTTTTAGCATTGTGGCTGATTTTGGAAACATATGAAACCAAATTAATATGAGGGAATTTATCTGGCTGTTCTGGAATGTGCTATATTCCATTTTCTCATTTGAAGTACTTCTTAAAACCATCTAGAAATAAAAAGACTGGATTTATCTTAAAGTTGGCAGTCCTGTGCTTGGTTTGGCTCTATCACCAGAAGTGGGGTAAAGAATATTTGAGCTGCAAACTGATTTTCCCAGACACTGACACCAAAGTGGGTGAAAAATTCCAATAACCTGTTAACTCTAGAACACTGGTCTTGGTTAGACTCAGGAAAACTGGTGAGCAGTTCTGCCTCTGCCACTGGTTGGCTAACTCTCTATGCTAAGATATCCTCATCTGGAAAAGGAGAGCAACAGGCTCTGAAAACCTCATGTGGCTCTTGTGAAATTCAAAATATATTTTAAATAAGATTATGTATATGAAGGCTTTGTAAACTGGAAAATGAATTATCTGTGCTGTGTTACTCTGTTGCTGTTGTTGTTTTTATTTTTACCTAATCCAGGAGACTTCTCTGGAAGTTATTTTTCTATATAAACTTCTTTTAGTATGAGATCTTAATTTGATGTTCTTAATGCAGAATTCTCTGATTTCTATCATTAAGGGAAACAGGCGAGGAAGGCTATAATCGACTCTCAGCACCTCCCAGTCCTGAGCATGCAGCCTGATTTTGACTGAAAGCTACTGGGACCCACTGCTGGGGGCTTTCTCTGACCCTCTCAGCTCTTAGGTAGCCTGAACATCCAGAAACTTAATGTCCCCAGGAGTATCCTCACTTGATGACAGATGAAAATTAGAGAACTGAATACCCCTATTTTTCTAGCCCTTCAGTTAGAGACAAATCTGAGGTATGTTCTACACAGTCCCCCAACCAGTCTCCTGTGGGCCTGAGCCCCAGGTGCTCACCATGGCCATCTGCTCATTACACGTCTATACTGCCTGCCTTCCTATCAGTCTCACTCCACCCTCCCAGGGCTTCCTGGGACCACCTACAAATAAACCAAAAAGTGCACTGGGGAGACAGCACCAGGACCAGATAGCCAAGAACAGCTTCCTTGGTGATAAATCATGTTGATGGCATGTATCCTTGATGTGATATGAAGAAAATATCACTTTATCTCTATATTCTTACTCCCAGAAAACCCACAGTCTCAACCTAACCATGAGACAAATAGAAATGGAAGGGAATTCTCCAAAATACTTGTCTAGTGCTCCTCAGATCATAAAAATCAAGGAAAGTCTGAGGACTGTCATAGACCAAAGGAGTCTCAGGAGCTAGGACAGCAGAACAGAACAGGACAATAAGGAACGCTAATAAAATTTAAATAAAGTATAGAGTTTCATTCACACCAATTCTATATAATATAGAGCTACTATACTAACTAGATCAGATGGTGGAAGGACCTTCCAGAATGACCAGTGGGTAGGGGGACAGGGCCATGAGGCAGACAGGGCCAAGAGAGCCTACCTTACATGAATTTCATGCCTCGGGCCTCTAATGTATTAATATTGGTTCTTTCATTCTGACAAATGTACCATAGCAATACAAGACGTGAAAATAGGGGAAGCTGAGTGCAGGGTATACAGAAACTCTCTGTAATATCTTTACAACTTTCCTGTAAATTTTAAACTGTCCTTAAAGAAAAAATTTAGAACAAAAAATTTCTGAATGTAAGAAATTTGAAAAGTCCTGGGATGAAGTAAATTTTATCTCAGGGAGTTTCCCTTTCTTTCCAAACCTGGAAAAGGTGTAAAATCTTTGCTGCCAGCTGTACTTCTGTTGCTTATCTCTTACTCGGTATTTTTCAGCTTGAGTTCAAGCCCCTTTATTTACCCTTTCTGGAAACTTCCAATCATCACCAACCTCCCTATCCTTTGAAATCTGCTCTGATGGTGCCCATCTCTTCCTAACGTTATGTTCAGTGATATCTGCCAAGGCGGTTGTATTTACAGCATAGAAATAAGCAACGACTATAAACATTACAAATCAGAGCTTTTTTTTTTTTTTTCTCCAGAGAACTATTAATAGTTTACCAGCACACCACTGCTTACTGTCCATGCCACCCAATTTAGCATTTAATTCATTCTCTTTGCATTGTATGTTGCTATTTCATGCCATTGCTTCTAGATTGGGCAGCATGGCTGCCTCAGGAGTCAACTTGCACAATCAAATACACACCACTTGCCACACTGTGGAAACTAGAGTGGCTATTCAACAGCTGTTGTGTACCGAGGGGTTCAAACTCCCACCCCAAGTACGTGATATAGTGGGGTCCCAGTGGGATCTATTCCCAGCTCTTAACATCTCTAGAGCTCTGCTTATTCACCTCAATGGTAATTCAACTGGAAGAGATGATCTGGAGGACTAAATCCAGGCTGAGCAGTCTTCCATTCTCCGAGGTCCCTGGGTGATGAGTATCAACTCTTCATTACAGGGGATGAATGGTGAAGGGGTATTAAGAGGCAGGTGCACAATCCAGGCAGATCCGACCAAGTTAACAGATTTCTCCAAATGCAGAGCTTCTCAGTCTTTAATCAGCTTGACACATTGGGGCATTCCAGGTAAGGGTCAGAGCTCAGGAACTTAGTGCATTTCAGGGCACACCAGAGAAAATGCAATCACAAAGTTACATTTTAAATTCAAAGACCTTCTTATCCATTCCTCTGCACAGGATTTAAATAGAAGGGAAGTAGGTGGGCAGCAGGCATGTGGACCATTGATTAATTTTCCAATGATTATTCAGCCAAGGCAAAATCCACAGAGGAAGCAATTGTTTTTATCACTGATGATGGCAAATATTTATACTGCTCTTTTCCCTGACATTGTCTTGTTTACCTTCACAATGCTCCATCCCTCTGAAGGTGAGGTGGGTGTTATTCTTAATCTTGTACTGTCTATTAGATCCCCCCACATTGACAACAGTGCTGGAAGCAGCCAAATGCTGCTCTTCTCCTTCAGTCATCTTTGTTTTCTCACTATGTGACTTTTAGATGGTAAGTGTTTTTCTAAACATTTTGCTTTGTCTGTGACTGGCTGAACTGAAAGATGCAGGGTGGAATGAAAGTAGGTTTACAGTTGCGAGTACATGAAACACAGTTTATTTTTGTATTATTATTTACTGATTATTGTATTATTTTTCATACAAGCAACTGTAGACCTACTTTTGCTCCACCTTGTAATGACGGTGGCATATGTTTTTATTTTTAATACTCTTATCTTTTGACATTTGTTTTCACATCTGTTATCTCATTTTGGCATCACAGAAACTTGTGAGACAGACAGAACATGCTCATGTTACAGAGGGGGGGAAATGCAAGCAGAGCGTTCAAGATGCCTCATAGCTGAGCAGAGCACACAGACATCTGAACGGCGGGTCTCGACCTTAGAGGGACACTGGGAGGATCTTCAGAGGTTTTGAAATGCGGGTGTTTGTGTCCCTCCTTCAGAAACCTATTTTAAAGAATCTAGATTGTAGCCTGGGCATTGGGATAT